GGCAAAAATGGACAAGCGGCTCAGTTTGTCAGCCAGTTGCAACTGTACCATACCTCAGCATATTAATGAGTAACACATCTTTAATGTGGTTTTTATTTATGTTACCTGGGAGAGAGAGGGAAAAGGTTTATGATTTTGCATCAGACAATGTTTCTAAGATTTTTGTGTATTCTGTAATGAAACATTGATACAATCCCATTAGTGGCAGGTTGAAGCTCTCTGATAGCAAAGGCTGCAGAGACACGAGGCTGGCCAGGCGGGTGTGTGCCGTAACACCGATCCAAAGCAGGATGGAGTGCAGAGCAGGATGTGGCCCTTCGTCATCAGGTGCTGGGGAAAGCCATGTTCAAAATCAATCAAGTGGTAGTTTTCCCTAGAGTGTGTGAATATAACTCTATCCTACTTTCGTAGTGTTAAAAACTCTTTCTTCTGTCTGCTTAACCTTTTGAAAAGCAAATGATCTAAAAAATTCTGGAGTTGAATTTCAATACTTAGAAGTGCTGCTTTTAGTTTCCTGAGAAATGATGCTCCCAGGTAGGCTTGCGCTGTCTTCCATGCAGGTTTCTCTGATTTAGTCACATACAATATTTCTAGAGTGAAATTCTAGCTCAGTTGCATTCAATGACAAAACTCCCATCAACTTTAATGGAGGCAGGATTTCACCCTTGATACGTTCTGCTAGCTGAGCAGTGTAGATAATTGATTGTTTGTCAGACTCAGTCATTTGCTTACCAGTGTTTTCCTGTCCTTAGCATTTCAGTTTCTCTATTTTATTACTGGAAGTAAAACAAAACAAAGCCAAATATCCTCAACAAAAAGAACTGTGAGACAAACCTATTACTAGTATTATCAGAATCAGAATTTATGGCTTATTGATAAACTAGAAAAATGAAAAAAGGAATAAGCGATACTCAGGAAGAAAATGATGCTTATGTCTGCAGAGAAAAACAAAACAGCTTTCACTGACATTACAGCAATAGCTAATTCAGGGGTTAAGGACAAAGAGGTGGCTGAATGTTTCTTGTTCTATTTCCAAGGCAGTTTGAAAAAGTAGAGCAAGAAATGTTTTTTGGTTTGTTTGGGGTTTTGGGGATTTTTTTTTTGTTGTTGTTTTTATTTTTTTAGATAAGGAGACCTGTAAAGAGGCTGAAATGCTACTGACTTTAATTACTAGTTTATTGATTGGGGTAACATTTATGCAAGTGCTAAGGGGAGCATATTCCTCAAGAAAGGTGCAGTAATACAGTATTGCTGTTATTTTACAATTTGCTGAATTGCTAATAACAAGCAAGAATGGGGCTGCATGAATGTAAAGCAGAAGAGTGGTCAGTATTTTATCTGTAGTGATAAGATTTTGCCTGAAATTTGCCTTCATGCTACATGGAGAAAGATATCTCCATTGTAAGGAAGCATTCAACAACATTCAAAAGACTGGAAATAAGAAGTATCTGACAGATATAGTTGTAGCCTAGTGGCTGATATTTCTTTAATTTGCCTTTATTTTTTGAAGAACAGTGTAATGGGAAGTACATAAAATAAAGGATTTGGAAGAAGAAAATTTGGAAAAGCTATACCTATGAAGAGAGCAAGTTAATTAGAGTATAACAAAAGAAACAAATCTAAATCAGTGGCTCAGAATGTCTGTTGTCAGAGCCAAGAAGCCTTCCACATGTATTTCCACTAAATAGAAAGTTGTGGTGGGTTGACCCTGGACACTGAATGCCCAACAAAGCTGCTCTATCACACCCCATCCTCAACTAGACGGGAGAGAAAAAAATATAAGGAAAGGCTCGTGGGTTAAGGACGGGGAGATCACTTGGCAATTAACATCACAGGCAAAACAGAGTGACTTGGTGGAAAAAAAAAAATTATCAATCAAATCATAGTAGGATAATGAGAAAATAAATCTTAAAGCACCTTCCCCTGGGCCCTCCCTCCGTCCCGGGCTCAGCCTCACTGCCCGTTTCTCTCCCCGGTCCCGCCAGCAGCGCAGGGACGGGGATGGGGGCTGTGCTCAGTCCCTCACCCGCTGTCGCTGCCGCTCCTCCCTCCTCAGGGGAGGACTCCTCACCCTCTGCCCACGGGGTCACCGCCTCCTCGGGGCACATCCCCCTGCTCCGCCGTGGGGTCCCCCCGGGCTGCAGGGGGGTCTCTGCTCCCCCGGGGCCTCCCTGGGCGCAGGGCACAGCTGCCTCCCCAGGGGCTGCCCCAGGGGCTGCGGGGGAACCTCTGCTCCGGGCCTGGAGCCCCTCCTGCCCCTCTGCCCCGCTGCCCCGGGCTCCGCACAGCTGCTGCTCTCTCAGGCTCTCGCTCCTCTCTCCAGCTGCAGGGGCTGCTGTGCAGCAGCTTTTCCCCCTCTCGGACACGTTCTCCCAGAGGCGCTACCGCCGTGGCTGATGGGCTCGGCCTTGGCCAGCGGCGGGTCCCTCTCGGAGCCGCCTGGCCTTGGC